GGGGGGAACTGCGCAAAAAACGCATCCTCGTACCGGCAGCCGGTACGCTTTCTACTAGGTTTTATTACGCGTTTTGTGCTATGTAACAAACGCATATTGTCACAGGGTTGTCTCTGTGTGTATGTGTGTCCCACACTTTGTCCCGCACTTTCAACTCGGGAACCACAAGGCTAGGCAGCTAAGATTTTAATATAGTGTTCCCTGTCAGCAGGTGACGAGGCAAATTTAAATTCAGCCTTCCCGTACCAGCAGGTAACATGTACGGCCCCGTAAAAGTGTTTCGGGTAAAACCAGTATCTCGGGAACCACGGAAGATAGAAGGCTGTAATTTTTTGAGCATGTCCCCGTCCATGTGCTACCCAGAAAATTTAAATTCAGCTTTCCCCTGCCCGCGGATAACAAGTAAGTGTGAAAATTTTTGACGGGTAAATTATTATTTCGGGAACTACAAAGTCTACAAAGCTGAAATTTTGGGATAATGACCCCCTGCCCACGCTCAACCTTGCTTATTCGAATTCAGCATTCCCGCGCTCTCGGGCATCATCTACGACCTCGTGAAAATTCTGGCGGGTAAATTATTAACTCGGGGATCACGGAAAGATATTCACCGTTCAAGGTTTCGAATTCAGCTTTCACGCGCAGGTGCGTGAAATATCTAACTATTTTTCAATGTTTCAACTATTTTTGCATAGACTAAAGTATGAAGCAGTGAAAATCATTAACAGGCAATCGTTCGATGGGCTGAATTGCACAAAACACATGATCGCACCGGCTAGTCTGGTGCGCGTTGCTATTTGTTTCCAAAGTTGTTGGCTTATAGGCCTAAGTTGCCATCCTGTGACTTTTTCATGCGTTTCTGTTAAAAACAAAACGCTTCATCACAAGAACGTATCTGTTTGTTTGTGTGTGCGAGTTTGTGTTTTGCGTGTTGGTGTGCATGTATTAGCTTAGAAAGTGCATTAGTTGGGCAGCCGTAATTTCGGTTGTGAAATTTGCTTGTGATAGAGAATAAACGGCTTGAATTAAGCTTTTGGTATCATCATTGAGTATTGCTCCATGAGCTTTTTAAGATAACGTAAAAATTTTAAAATGTGAGACATTGCAGGTTAAAAATTTTGAGAGCTTAGTTCCTCGCGGTGGTGTATGCTCAAAGCCTTGAAATCAGCATCTCAAACACAGGGCTTTCTCACCTATGAACCCAGGCTGGAACGCACCGTGCGGGTTGAAAGTGAGTGACAAAAAGTGCGAACACACAGACACACAGACACACACACACACACACAGCCCCTTCCCAATATGCGTTTTTGCAATTTACATATAAATGCAAAAACGCCTAAAAACTCATAAAATTCAAGCTGAACTTCACAATACACTAAAGTAGCAAATTATGAAACATTGATTGCCGGTGCGATCAGGCGTTTTGCATGTTTCCATGCTGTAAAGAGGTCTTCTGTAAAGCTGGAGCATGACAAATTTTCTTTTGCATTCTGATTGAATCACCAGATGTAGAAAAAAGTAAAAACGCTTGACTGTGCTAAGCCTTTTAGATACAGGGCAAGTTAAAGCTATATAAAGCACTGAGCTCACTTATTATGGACATTTCATGCCTGTTTTCTGGCTCCATTATTATCGTTTGGGTGCTTTTTTGACTAGTTGTGTTTCAGGCAACTACAGTCGGTTGTACGTATGTTTTGTGTTTACTCGAGCAGCAGGATTTTGCTTTCTGCAGCTGATAATCCCATCGACAGCAGTTGTTATCACATCGTGGGTGTCACTGTGGATGGAAAATGAAACTTCGTTTCAGGCTAGTCGCCTTCGTCTTTGGATTTCTCTGTGAAGTTCCGGCCATTGTTTTTTATGTTTCAGGATATGATATCTATTATCCTAACAATTACATTTTTGTTGTTTTCCTACAATGAGGTAATGCCGCGTGTCAGCTACATCAAAGCAATGGATGTTTATCTTGGTTAGTTTTGTGCTGCTTCCCTTTATTGCAATTTATTTCAGCACTTCATGTACCAAGCAGTTTTACAATCAACGCCCGGCAAAGGGATTCTTTCAAATCTTTATTATAAGCTCCCTCGCAAGCTAAACAAAATCACGGCTTTTTTTTTTAAATGTGCGTTTTGAAAAACACCAATGTTTTTTTTGGCAGTAATAATAATCAATTTTTTTACACTAATAATCAATTTTTTCTTGCTACTTATTCTTTTTTTCTGTGTTCCTTCTTACTTCTGTTTTCCTTGTCTTGCTTCTTCAAGTCCGCCTTTTTGTTAAATGGCAAGTAGGAGGCTGTATTGACGATTCCCACTCGCACTAGCACCCGATGCTCTGTTTGTGTTAAGGGATGAAACACAGTCAGTAAATTTACCTGATCCACTGGAATATGTGATTTTCAAACAGTCTTATTTAATATTTGATTCAGCTCTGTTAGGCATCTGAATTAACACGCCTATCGGGGGTATGGCAAATAGGCATGCATGTGAAGCTTGTTTTAAAAGCTTTTCACGGAAATCCGCTTTATAGGCGTATGTTTTTGTATTGTATTCTTTTCACTTATCAAATTGGCCGTCGTTAAGTACATGAGGCAGCGCCTGCGCATCACCAGGTACACACTTTATTATTGACAGCGAGTGCTCTCTTTTTCTTATGCATTTTTGCAGAAAACGTATCATCGGGAGATTTTCTAATGAATCGAAGCAAATGATCACAAAATCCTGGTTTTTGACTTCAGCTTAAATTTCAGCTCATTGTTTGTCCCTCACAATTTTAAAATTTCAGTTCTCGAGATTTTATTTTGAGTTGAAGTGAATCCTGTTATTAATTGTTTTTTGATTCTTGACTGCGCGTGCAAACGGTTCATAATGCAAAAAACCCTTAAACCTTTTGGGCTACTAGCCAAGAATTATGTGTTTGAGTTAAAAAGGCATGACATGCACATATATATGTGAGACTTCATGAAGCATTTTTATGAGACGAATGAACTTTGTTATCTATTTTTAACTTAGCAGTCGGAGAAGGAAGGAAGCTGAGATTTTAGGAGCACATTTCCACGGCATTTGCCACTTCATTTTAAAGCTAGTGCTCACGTAATTCCGGAGTCCTAATAGAAGGCATGCAAATTTTCTGGCTGGAAGCGATTCCGCACAAGGTAAAAGGTTATTCATAAGGGTGGAAAGTTGAATAATATAAAATCCAGGCTGGGACGCACCAGGGTCCCCAGTGCGACCATGTGTTTTTGCACTAAACTCGCAGATCTCTATTAGCAGGAATGATCCCTACGCTGTAGCCTAACACTTGGGCTAATATTGGCCGTACTTTGATCCTTACCGGCATGCAGGAGGAAAGGCATCAGTTGGGATGAAGGTGGTGCATTATAGAGCCGCACGGATATCCAGGTGCATGATTACCGGTTTTCTGCATGAAGTCCTCGTTTTTTTTGTAAATGCCTTGCTTCGTTAAAAAGTGACAAATGCAAATTTTTTGAAAAAATGCAAATTTCCAGTTCACTAAAAAGTGGAAGTATTGCTCGAGCAGTCGTTTGTCAAAAAATGCACGTTCATTTACATATACGATTGCGATTAAGGTCCGAGCC